CATTTTAAAAACTCTGGCTTTCCAGGCTGAGTAGGGATATATAATCCATGTGATGGTGAATAATGTGGGTTTATAGGTTTCATTTCATATTTCCAGGCCAAACTTCTAATATTTTATCATTCAATATGCCCTGGGTGGCCTTGATCTCAGACAGATCCATCCATCTCTTAATCCCAAGTCCTGGGATTAAAGGTGTGTACCACCACAGCCTGATCTCTATAGTTTGATGCTGACTTTGCTTTCTGAATCCTCAGGCAAGCTTTAATACATCATAAATAATATATCACCACAGTGTGTGGTGCCCATGCCTTGAGCAAGTCCAAGGTATCGGGAAATGAAAGATAAGATGTCCAACTGTTTGTGCTAAGAGAATGCGTCTGCCGCCTTTATTGCCAGAGAATGCCTCTGTGTGTGTGTGTGTGTGTGTGTGTGTGTGTGTGTGTGTGTGTCTTTATTGCAAGTGCTTAGAGAGCTCCCCCGCCCCTCGTAGAGAGGGAGCAGGATTATATACAGGTTTACAGCACAGAGGAAAAACCCCAGATGTAAGAGCTCTTGTTTTCCTAGTGATAGATATTGATTTCAGGCAGGCAAGGCCAGGGCTTTAAACCAGGACTAGAGAGCAGGATGTACCTGTGGCTATCAGCTGACAAGCAATGCACAGAAATCCGTGGGGACTGGGACCCAACAACAGTGTTCTCTTTCTTTGCTCTCAATGTAACATGTTGATTACCAGCACTGAGAAACGTTCACCTTGGCATGAACATGGTCAGTTTGAGATCTGTTTTCTTTTGCATGGCCACTGCTTCTAATTGTTCTAGCAAGTCTGTGCTTAAGTTCTTGGAAGATTGATTAGTGATTTTTTTTTCTTTCTTGTAATACCTTGTCGCATGATAAAATCAAGCTTGTGTTATCTTGGGAAATGGAACCAGAAGTGTTTCTGTATTTCCACGCTCTGGGAGCATTTATCAGGAAACAGTTGGTTCCTTCTTAGATATCTGGTATGACATGAGCTGACGAACCATCTGGATGGAACATGGAAGTACTTCAGGAGACAGGAGTATACTACATTTTAGAAGTCGTGTAGCTATGCAGATCCTCCATTTCTTCTGTTTAGTACATAAAGCTCTGTAAGAGCCTATTGATACAAAGTCAGTGTTGCCATTGCATTATTGTCCCTGTAATGTCTACATGGCTTGATTTTGATGACTGCTTTCTCATTCCTGATATCAACTGAATCCCTGTCTCCCCCTTTAATATTACACAGATTTTAAGTGATATCTATCTATTTTTAAAAAGGTTTATTTATTTTTACTTTTGCATACAGGTGTTTTGCCTGCATATATACCTATGTACCATGTGGTACCAGCAGAGGCCAGAAGAGGGTGTGGGATCCCCTGGAACTGGAGTTACAGACAGTTGTGAGCCAACCATGTGGGTGCTGAGAACTGAACTCCATTCCCTTGCAAAAGCAGCCAGTACTTTTACCTGCTGAGCCATCTCCTGCCCTGTGATTATCTGATCTGCTGTTGTCACTATTGTTTCCTTCATTCTTCATCCTGGTGTCTAGTCCCTGCTTCTGGAGGTGGACATGTGGACTCACATGTTAATTCTTCCTTAGCATGTGGCTAGGGAGCAAGCATGCCTGGCAGTCACTTGCTCTGCTCACAAGATTTGGTCTGTCATTATTTCTCATTGCTGTACTGAGCATTTGTGCCATCACGGTGTGAGTCCTTATGCCTGATCCTCAACTTCCGAGAACTTGGGGATTGCCTTGCATTCTGTTGTCATTTTTAGTTTAACCGACTCATTGTACTAGTCATAATTTGCAATGCTAGATTGAAGAGATGATCAGTATTGTATTCTTTAAGAATTGTGAGAATGGACAGCCTTGGGGGGAGGGCACGGGAGGAGGGGAGGGAATGGGAGAGGGACCTGGAACTGACTTGTGAAGCAACCTTGTTTCTTATCTAAATTTAAACTGGAAAATAAAATTTTAAAAAATAATAATAATATAAAAAAAAGAATTGTGAGAATGTGTAACCCCAGAAAGCGCTAGTTAAACTAGGGAGAGATTTCCTGTTTCCCTGCCCAGAAGACAGAGTGGATATTCTTAATGACCTTGTGACCTTTTTGCTATCTGTGGTGGCAGACCTCACCCACCTTTTGCTATAGAGACAGAGTTCACCCAAGTCCCCGAGAATGTTTATCCTAGACTCTACCTCCCAAGATCTTTATCTTTTAGCTCCCAGTTAATGGAACCCATCCTTAGAGGGGATGTCACACATACTTTATAGCCTGCTGACCTCTAGGCTATCTCAGTCAGGAACGGCACTAGATTCTAGACCTTTTAGTTATAGAATCATCCTATGGTCACATGTACTTTGTAAAGGATTTTCCAAGTAGTCACTCTCTGAGCTTTGTTGTACAGCTGGAATTGGAATGATGGTTGCCTGGAAACCTGGGATGGGAATGTTGGTTGCTTGGAAACCTGGGATGGGAATGATGGCTGCCTGGAAACATGGGATGGGAATGTTGGTTGCCTGGAAACCTGGGATGGGAATGATGGTTGCCTGGAAACCTGGGATGGGAATGATGGCTGCCTGGAAACATGGGATGGGAATGATAGTTGCCTGGAAACTTTTTCCCAAATTGCACTGTGTTTTAAATATGCTGACAGTGAACCACCTGGCATTAGAACACCAGAGTCTGATCCAGGTTGACAAAGTAAATCTGAAATGAGTTTTTATTCTCACGCCTTTGCATCTTGCTTCCCTGCATTTCTCCAATGAGGGTGTTGTGTGTAGGGTTTTTACTATATATGCATTATTAAGATAAAGGAGCAGAGCCTGGAACTCTAAACATATCCACTCCCATCAGGTAATTTTCAGAACACCTTCTCTTATCTCACTTGTGACTTAAACTTGGTCTATACAAAAAAAAAAAAAAAAAAAAAAAAAAAAGGAAAAAGCCTCGGGCTGGCAGACTATGACCCGGTTTCTGAATTCTCAGTGCCATGAATATATCTACAAACCACCTCACTGGAAAGAAACTAGCTAGCATCTTCCTCTGGAGAAGGCTTCACTGAAAGGTTCTGAGCTCTGCTGGGAGAATCTTTTCCCTGGGAGACACAAACAAAAGTCTACCTCTCCTGACGGAGTTTCAGCAACAAACACAAACACAAGTTTGGTTTTCTGCCAACTGCACAAGTGTGCATTTCTACCAAAGTCTACCTTGGGGAGCCAATGAACGAATTAGACTTACTTACAGAGCATGGGTGAGGGGTGTCCCCACAGCATCTGCACCCCCAGAAACTCTTACCCAGCATAGATAAGATGATGGATTTCCCACAGTTGCCTAGATGGAGTCCCTTTCGTAACTTAATCTCTCATTCAGTATACACTTGACTACCCCTCAAGACCTTGGGGTCACCTGCAATTAGGGCAGAATTACAGCTAATGGCTGAGAGGTGCAGGAGGGAGCAGCCAGAATCCCAGGTGGCTTTTCCCACCCCTCCTTCTGTGAGGGAATTATCAACTATGCCATCTCTGGAGTCTATTCCAAGAAGCCACAGCTGCTCCAATGAAGATGATGGCTGTCATGTGCAGAGGATTGCACTCTGCAATAGGTTCCTTCATATGGGAGACCTCAGGGTAGAAAGGGGGAAGGTTGGGAACACACTGTATCACCTTTTCTGTAGTTGCACATGTCTGTTTTTACCCCTACACATGCACATACACATGAACAGACACACACTCATACACACACAGGTGCACACACACACACACACACACACACACACACACACACACACAACTCTACCCCCAGAGACAGAAGATCTTATATTAACCACCTGGCCCCTGCCAGCTAAGCCTTTCGTGCAGGACATTTTTACAGGTGTCTCTGGAGACACTGTTCTGGGGCTAGAAAATGAGTCACAGGATGTCCTCCCCTGCAGGCTGCGTGGTGGGAGGTATGCCCTTCTCTGGCTTCTTACGAGTGAGTGCATTTCCTTTCCTGCCACCTTCAAAGCGTGAGGGAGAACACTGGCCTGAATAAAGCATGGAAATAAATATCTTTGTTTAAAAATATTTATTTATTTGTAATTGTGTTATGTATGTGCACTTGTCTGGGGTCTGGACACGTGGCTGCTGGTTCCCTGGAGCAGATGACATGAGGGCCAGGAAGCGAGTTAGGGAACTCTTTAAGATCAGCAAATACTTGGAACTACCAAGCCATTTCTCATGCCCCTGACATCCTGATTAGATGTCAAAGAAAGGTAAAATCAGATGACTTGGGACAGTGTGCCTGGTTTGCATTTTGTTTCCAACATTTATCCATCTTCTCTAATATCCTAATATTAGACGTTCCTTTTCCACCTCCTCTATTTATTTCTTAGCTCTCGGAGTCTCTCTCATCTAAGTAGGTAAAGTAAATCCAGGGTTCTAGAGAAGGTAGAGGGATTTGCCTTTAGCCTTGGCTCCCTCCTAAGACATGGCTCCAACGGCTTGTGCCCTGGGTGAGATGACTCTGCTCTTTATCGAATTTTCAATATCTTCCTCGAATCACAAAATGTTTCACCTGTACAGTGTGGTTCAAGGGTGACCTGTTCGTTAGGTATCCATGACATATGCTACGGAGGTGAGCAAATAATTCTTTCACAAACATCAGAGTATAAGTCACATTCTCCCCAGTTTCTGTGAATGCGTTAGTGGAAGTAAGTCCCCACGCAAACCAGGTGTGATTGATGGTTGAGTGTAGGAGAAATTGTGACCAGCCTACCCAAGCCTCAGTCACCCTGCCCCCAGTGCCCAGGTCATCCCGTGCATGAGCATGCGCAGCAGGCACTTCCTCCCTGAGCCTGTCTTTACCCAGAGACTGCTGACAGATAGACACCTGACCCAGAGACACCAATAGGAAAGGACATACAGCAGAGTCAGCCGCCTGAGCCAATAGGACCTTGGGAGGGGGTACAAAGACAGGCCTGACTTCCTCAATAAACGAGTCTGCAGCACGGTCTGCCACTCACGGACTCCCAGTGCCTGAGTGGCTGGTGCTGCATCCTCTCATCCCCCCCCTCCTGCAAGGGGTGTCAGGGTAGGGTCACCCACAACAGTTGAGCTCCTCAGCTTGGCCGGATTTGGAACCACTACGGAGGCATCTCTCTTTGGTGTGCCTCTGGGGGTGTTCCCAGAAAAGTCGGTTTCGCTCTGCAGGGAGGACTCACCCTAAACGTGTGGTGGTACCGCCCCATGGGCTTGACAAAGTGAGGAGCTGGTGGGGACGGCAGACGAAGGTACTTGCCACCAACCCTGACGATTAGATCCCCTGGTGAATATGAACAGATGCTTCACGCTCACGCTCACACGGCTTCCCTGCTGTGATGGACTGTACCCAAATCAACCTTTTCCTCCCGAATTTTGTTCTGCGTCTACTGTCAAGACAGCAAAAATAATTCACCCCAGGTTAATGTTTGTATCCCAAAAGTAGTTTTAAGGGAAAAAAACAGAACCATTTGTACTTTTCTTTTAAGAGCAGTCCTTCCAACCGTCTATGACCAGGGGAAGAGCCCGTGGTCACTGTGATGATTCTGCAATCGGTTCCTGTCTCCTCTTTCCTCTCCCTTAACTTTCCCCTCACAGGCATTCAGGACCCTGCGTGTCGTGGCTCTCCTGTACTGAAGCAAACACCCGGGATTGGGATGGACTGGAGAGACCGGTGTGAGAGCCAGCTTCTGTTCCATTCACTTCATATGCATTTCCCAAGAGAGACAGACACATTTGCCTTCAAGATCCTGAGACCACCCAGGCCGTGTGTAGCAGGCTGGAGATGCATGGCCTCCTCAGGTGGGCCCTCTGTGAGCACAAGTTTCTTTTTCTCTGGAGATGGGCTGGGGCACTTAGTTATGTTGCACAGCAGCTTCAGGGTATTTCGAACTTAAACACAAACAGATTGAAGGCGTGGGGGAAGGTGGCCTCTGGCAGTCCTGCAAAGACGCGCCTTCCCAAATCCCATCTGCTTTGCCCAAGGTCCCTCTCCTCATTTATTCCTCACCCCACACACTCTAAGAGTCCCTGCAACAGGGCCGTGCCTTGCTTCAGACTTAGTGTGCAGACTTGAGAACTGCAGCCCTGTCCAAGTCTCTGCGGTTGCCACATTCATTACTCATGAAAGAGCCAGGGAGACCCCACTCTCCATGGAGCCTTTGCTCTTTATTTATTTGTTTATTGATTTTTTTTTGCCACAGCTCACCCTGGAGCCCAGGGAGACTCTGTCGTCTGACCAAGTCTGTGAGCTTTGCTAGAAAGAGCCTTCCAGTCTAGCATCTTAATCAAACAGACTTGAAATGTTTGATTTTCTTTTTTCTGTTTTCCTGAGATGAGCTCAGCATCAACAAAGGACTCACAAACAGCTTTTCCCGGATGCTCAGGCATACTTTGCTTTTTAACACCGCTGGTAACGGTGCAGGGAAAGAAGCCCTTGCCATGTGCAACCAGGACTTAAAACAACAATGCTGAATGTAAATAAAAAAAAAAAAAAGGGAAGGCGCTTCCTGTAAGTTGCTGAAAGGTTCTGAAAATAGCTTGGAGCCCAAGCCAGAGTTAACATGGGTTCACAGCCAGAATTCGCATGGGAGCTTGGGGACCCTGGCTGCTTGTTCTAGTAAAGTCAATGTTCACAGCCAGGATGCTTTGCCTACCAGAGCCCGACAGTCTTTCACACAGTGAGGTCTGCTGCCCACTCTACCCCCCTCGCCGTTTAAATAGTGGGTAGTCATGCACCTTCCAATGTCTCAAATATTTCTAAACCTGGACTGTACTTTACAAGACAGCATAAAACCTGGGTATGTTAGTAAGCCAGTGCCCTTGAGTGTGTGTGTGTGTGTGTGTGTGTGTGTGTGTGTGTGTGTGTGTGAGAGAGAGAGAGAGAGAGAGAGAGAGAGTGTGTGTGTGTGTGTGTGTGTGTGTACAGGTGTGTATGTGAATACATGTGTTTCATATGTGAGTGTCTCTTGTGGGCATATGTGTTTGTGCGTGTGTCTCTGTGGAGGGCAACTGACCCCTGGGAGACCACTGTGGTAGGATGAGAGTAAGAAGTGAAGCCATGTGACTCTCCTCTGCTTGCAAAGGCAGCTTAATCAAGCGCTTCAAATGCTGGCATCCACTTTGAAGAGGTTGAGCAGTCTAAGCCGGGCGGGTCGGTGGCGCATGCCTTTAATCCCAGCACTCGGGAGGCAGAGGCAGGTGGATCTCAGTGAGTTCGACGAGGCCAGCCTGGTCTACAGAGTGAGTTCCAGGACAGCCTCCAAAGCAATACAGAGAAGCCCTGTCTCGAAAAACCAAAAAAAAAAAAAAAAAAAAAAAAAGAAGAAGAAGAAGGTGAGCAGTCTAGAATTACAGACTTTACCTGAAAGAAACCTTAGTGGCAGAGGGATGAGGCAGTGTGGGTAATGGATGGAAAGTGTGGTTTGTTTCATTCTCTGAGACAAGGATCTTGCTATGTATCCCAAGTCAAGATGGCCTTAAACTCATAGCAATCCTTCTGCCTCTGCCTCCCCAGTGCTGAATTATAGGGGTGTGAAACTCTGGGTCCCCAGCAGGGCTTTTGTTCTTCCATGTGGTTTGGTTGAGACGGTGTCTTGTTAAGTAGCTCAGGTTGATATCAAACTCACATTTTACCTCTTAGTCTCATGCAGGCATGCTGAGCAGTGGTGGATAAGGGTTGTGGGCAGACCTTTGATAGTGTCTTGGTACACGGAATGTTCTGTCTCCCTACATACAAAATTGACTCCTGGTTTTAGTAACACCCAGAGCATCTCCCGAGCCTCCAGAAGAAGGTCCTACTTAAGCCTGGAATCTTTATCAGAAGGTGTTTTAGTCCTTGCTAGTTTGTCTTAGTGGTGGGAGCAGAACTTACAGTGTCTGGTGTTCTGGAAGTATCCTCTTTAAAGTCTTCCTTCTGCCTTGTCTGAACCAGGGGGCATAGAAGTGACCACATTTTCTGTGGCTGGCAAAAAGCCTGCGTCCAGTCACACTATAGTATTTCTAAGGCCCAGGGAGGATATCTTCTAGCCTGCCGTGTTTAAGATTGATCAAAACAGCAGGGAAATCTGCCTCTGAAATGCAGAAATGGCATTGAATGCAGAAAATATATTACTCATAAACCCTCATGGCTTGAAGACTTCACAAACGATTCTGTAACATTTTTAACTTTCTAAGTGATTCGATTCACTTTGATGAAAATTATGTGAACTCAAGGTGTGTGTCGACAAAGAGGACTCTAAGTCCTCTGTGTGGCTATGCCTCCACTCGGTCAGCGGTTCTCAACCTTCCTAATGCTGCAACCCTTTAATACACTCCCTCATGTTGTGGTGACCCCAACCATAAAATTATTTTTGTTCCTACTTCATAACTGTAGTTTTGCTACTGTTATGAATCTTAATGCTAGTATCTGTGATTTCTAATGGTCTTCGGTGACCCTTGTGAAAGAGTCAACCCTATAAGGGCGTCGTGACCCACGGGTTGAGAACCTCTTCACTAGACCATCTATACTTCGATTCAATAATTCCCAAGGGGACTCATTATCATGATGACTACCTCTAGATTTCCTCCTCGTGGCTTCTTAATTCTTCCAAGACACAAGACTAAGATAACAGGATGACATCTTACAGTGTTCTCGTTGAGACTAAGTGTGGTAATAATCCCAGGACTTAAAAGGTGTATGTGGCCTCCTCAGCGGCACCCATAGTGTATCCAAACTTGGGCGGATACTTGCATCATTCCCACTTCCTTCTCCCCTCCCCGCCTTTACCAAATCTCCCTCTAGTCTGAGTACTGTGTATTTCTTCACCTCACTTCTCTCCCATCTTGGCTTTGCCACTTGGTCTTGCCAGCAGTTGGGAGTGGAAGCTACAAAGTGTTCATTTGTAAGTGAAGGCTTTAAAGATCATGGCACGTTCTCACCTGTCCTGGGAAATCTTTTGTTTGTGGCCAAGTCTCAGGGAGCCCTCCCATAGCCTGGGTCTCAAAATGGGAAGAAAAAAAATGTGTTCTGTATCTTGACAATCAATCCAGTTAAGACCAGAAAAATGTGGCTAAAGAGATTCCCAGCAAAGAGATTCCCAATGTGGAAACTAAATATCAAGAAAGAAATATCTGTTATAAATGGCAACTCTGTGTTCACCTTGAACTGAGTCTTGTACTTATTTAACTGGATGCTTTCTGAAGATGGGGAGACATTTCCAGGCTTGCTTTGTTCTTCCTGCACCCCATTCTGCTCCCCTCTCTTACATGCCCTCCTTGTGCATGAAGACTGGCCTGGTCTCCACTCTGAGATCACTTCAGAGTTAATAGACACTGAAATGGACGCCTCTTTTATCTCTGATCTACTTCTCCTTTAAATAATGTAACTAGCATTTGGGTGTGATGGTATAATCCCAGGGCTTGGAAGACTAACGAAAGAAGATCATGAATTCAAGGTCACCCCAAAGTATGATGTGAGATTTTATCTCAAAATGAATGAATGAATAAATGAATGATGGAGATAAATATGTAAATAATCCATCTCTTAGTTTATGACTGCATACTGAGAAAGCTGTTTATTAATGTGAAAAGAACTTTGGCATCGGAGTGAAAGACAACAATTCAAGGCTTGCCTCTGCCACAGGCTTTATAGTTAGTTTTCTCAGGGCTGTGACCAAGCACCCAGGAAGACAATGCTTAGAGAACGAAGGGTTTATTCTAGTTCACAGTTGGAGGGGACAGTCTATCACAGAGGGAAGGCTTGGCTGCAGGAGCGACTTTGAGGCTATTGAGACAGAAGTCTTAGGCTGCTCACTCTTGGCTGAGTGGACCAGGAAGCAGAGAGCACCCTGGGAATAGAACTGCATTATAAACCCCAGCCTCACCCCCAATGACTCACCGCTTCCAACTAGACCCCACCCCTAAAATTTCCAGATCCTTCCCAAACAGTGTTGCATTTGAGGACTGAACGCTCAAACCCACAAAGAGCCTGTGGAAAAGATCTTGTGTGTGTGTGTCCTTGGAGGCCTGAAGACAGCACTGGATCTCCTGGTACTGGAGCTAAAGGTGGTTGCAAGCTTCCTGACACAGGTTCTGCCTCTGGAATCCCAACTCAAGCCTTCCAGAACAGTAAGCGCTGTTGATCACTGAGCCATCTCTCCAACCCCAAGTCTTTCTTCTCTTTCTCCCCCTTTCTTTCTCTTTATTCCTGAGCCTTAGAGACATGGGGACTTCTGCTCTGCTGCCAAATCTTTCACGATCCATTGACACCGCACGTATTCTCCAGTCTGTCGCTCCTTTCTGCCTTCTGTTACATGTGACACAGGACAAGAATTCCAACCTTGAAGGAAATGTCTTTCTTCCTTCAATCTTTGGATGAGTTATCTTGGATATGAGTAAACTCAGTGCCCACATGCAGAGAAAGGGCAATGATGACAGAGGCATGGAAGTGTGTGACTGAGGGGCATCTACACAGATCCCGCCAAAAACAGTCAAAGCGGCATGGAGGTTGGGACGGCAAAAGGCAAGAGTAGAATGGTCTTGATTTAATGTGTCAATGTATTTAGAAATAAATGTTTGATGGTTCTTTGAGTCTCTTTGAAACCCTTCCTTCCTTTTTTCCCTCCCTCCCTTCTTCCTCCCTCCTTCCTTGTTTGTTTCCTGTCAGGTGCTTGGTCCCAGCCCTGAGAAAAGCAACTATAAAGCATGGGGCAGAGGCAAGACTCGAGCAGTTGTCTCTCAGTTATATGCCAAAGCTTTTTTCTCCAACATTAAAACAGTTTTCTCAGTCAGAAGCTAACCCATCAAACTAACATGAGCTAACTATACCTCCGTTTCTGTTTTTCATTCATTTCACTGTAGCAAATAATTGGAATCAACCTAGTTACCCATCAGTAGATGAATAGGTAATGAAAATTGTGTGTGTGTGTGTGTGTGTGTGTGTGTGTGTGTCAAAATGAAGTAGATAATCTGTAATAAAGTGGATGGAATTAAATGTATAACATTATTAAGAAAGGCCACACAATGTCAGGGGAAAAAGTCACATATTCTCTCTCATATGTGAAATCTAATCAATAATATATGTATGTATGTAGACAAATGTACATGTAGGTATAATAAAAATGAAGACAAGAACAAGAAGGGATAAATGAGGAAGGACTGAATGAAGGTAATGGACATGATTTGAGAAAGATTATGTAAAAGCAATTTGTTTTCTAGTTCTAACTCTGCCATAGGTTTTGGTTTATTTTAGTGGTAGGTACGTGGATAAAAAATATTTGATGCTGAAAGTGTAAAATTTAATGTAAAACAGGCTTCTGTGTCAACTCGAACTGTATATATGTTTGTTGAGTTGTATAGACTTTGGGTCTGGTTAATTTGGGTGTGTGATGCTTTGTTTATTTAAGCGTTTTTACAGAATAAAGCTTATATAAATTTTAAAAAGAATATGGGTTTAGAATTGGTTTTAAATCACTCTGCAGAGGACATGAAGCACCAGTATTCCTGGAGTCAAATCCTCTGTTAGAAAAACTCAAAAGGAGCCTTAGGGAGGGGAGGGCCCCACACTAAATGTGGAACGTAACATGTTACATATCGGTGAAGACACTGGTTCAGTCCTCCACTGCTCACCTTTCCCTGGGTGACCCCTCTCAGCCCAGCTCTTCTCAGCGCAGCCTCTTCCATCCCTCTCAGACGCTCCCTCTCTGGGCGTCACTCCTGCAGACCAGCTCCATCCTTGTCCTCACAGGGTTTAGATGAGAGTCCCACTGCCCTCCATCCTCTGGTCCTTAGTACACTTGCTCCAGTAGCTACTTAGAGTGCAGCAGGCACAGTAGATAGTCATCGTTTCCCAGAGAAGTTGATCTTCACAGAGCCAGAATGAACCGGGTTCCTCGGAAACCAGCTCGCATAGCAGGTGTCTTGTCCAGACGACAGGACAATCAAATCCCTTTACAGAAGTCAGGGAAGAAGGCAGCTGTGATACAGCAGTCAGAATCCCATGGCAGGCAAAGACAACTAGAGAGTGAACCCTGGATTCCCAGGGGGCAGGTAAGACTCAGCAAATAAGGACAGTTTGGGGGGCAGTGTTCAATATAAGCAGCCTGTTTGTCATCGTTGGGTGGTATTGGGTTGTGCACACTACCCGAGAGTCAAGCGCTGCTCTTATCCGGATACCCTTTGCAGTAGTGGCCCAGATCAAATACTCTGATACAGTGTTCTTAGATGAACACAGGGTGACAGTCGTGGAACTCTCCTTTCTCCACACAGTGAGGTTCGGTGGCTCACAGAATACAAAAGAGGCACAAGAACGTGGCCACTGCGTGAATAACGGATGTTGCCAGTTGATACCCTTGATACCCTGAGTTTGCCCGGGTATGCATTGTGTGATCTGTCTGTGTATGTGTGTTGTGTGTGTATGTGTGCAGATACTCATGGACCTGTGTGCATGTGGAGGTCAGAGGTCAATATTGGGTGTCTCCTCAATCACTCTCCCCCATTTTGCTTTTTTTTTTTTTTTTTGAGATATTTTCTCTCACTGAACCTGCAGCTCATTGATTTGGCTAGACTGGCTGGCCAGTGAGACCCACCCCCAACTCCTCCTGATTCTACTGTCCTAACACTGGGATTGCAGCTGTGAACCCTTACACTCAGCATTTCCTGAGTGTGTTGGGGTGCAAACACTCTGTGGGATGAGCTTTCTCCAGTACCACTAGGCCAGTTAGTTAACAGTCTTTACTCCATTAGGGAAACAGAAGTCAGAGTTTGCTGGGAGCCTAAACTTCTCCTCTTTTCCACCCTCTCTCTAATGTTCAGCTCCTATATCTTACAATCACATCTACACTGGTTGCTTGCATATTCTGATTCGACAAATGAAAGGCAACCTCTAGATTGTTTTTATAGCTACTGCCCTCTTGAGGAGCTCTGATGCCCCTCTCTTGTGGAATATTATTTTAAGATGTGTTAACATTTGTTTGTGCTGTGGGATATTTGTTTAATATGATGCAAAGATGTATTGCATTTATTAACTCTGTGAAGCTGTATTACATTGCCTGTCTAAAACACCCATTTGGTCTAATGAAGAGCCAATAGCTAGGCAGGAGAGAGAACTAGGCAGGGCTGGCAGGCAGAGAGAATAAATGAGAGAAAGGAGAAGAGGGGGGAGTGAAAAAAAAAGGAGAAGAGGGCACAAGGTGCTTACCACCTAGCCACACAGTCAGTGATGGAATAAGAAGTAAAGAGAGGTATATAGAATAAAGAAAGGTAAAAGTTCAGAGGCAAAAGATAGACAGGATAATTTAGGTTAAGAAAAGCTGACTAGAAACAAGCTAAGCTAAGGCCAGGCGTTCGTAAGAAAAATTAAGTCTCCATGTATTTATTTGGGAGCTGGGTGATGGGTCCCAAAAGAGTCAACAAGACAAAACAAAACAACAACAACAAAACAACATTACACCCCCCCCAAGTGCTCTTATGTCAATTCCAAAAAAAACTATCATTGACAATGGAGAGAAATACAACTTGACTGCTAGAGAAATCTGCCAAGCAAGCTAACCATACTGCACGGTGGTAGTAGACACACTTTCTGTCACACAGACTTGATGGTCTTCCCCTACCAAACCTTCCCATCACTCCATCAATTAGATACCAGGGATCTATGGACAGTCTGCAAGTTTCTGAGCTTTGCATCTTAAATCAATGAAGTCATCAAACACCAGGGCTGCCTGAATCACTGTTGTGGGTAGATAGTAAGGGCGTGTGACCAGTTTGTCACACTAGTAGGAGATGCTAACAGGGAAAAGGATTCTGACTAAGTAAGAACTCTTCGAAATCAAATCTACCATAAGAGAAAGAGTCCACTTAAAGAGAACAGTGGCACATCTTCTCCCAAAAACCCGTGGAGCCCCCCTGAAATCTACCTACCATTTGTATGACCTGTCTACCCTTGCTCCATAGACCGCTTTTTGCGTTATTGAGTTCTGACTCCTGTGCTGGTGTGTGTATGGACACACATGTGTGTTAACCATGTCTCAGGCATGAGCCGTGTGATCACTGTTCTAAGTTAGAAAGAGACATCGAAGTGAGGATCACATACCCGTGAAGAGAAATCCGCTGGTTCCTACCCCAGCGATGTTTGCCTTCACTCTAACAGGCTTAGTCGGGAACCCTTTCTATGCAAACGAAGGCAACGAGGAAACTGAGATGGAAGCCAGGTTTATACTCCCAAAGCTGGAGTCATAAACACAGACAACTAACTTCGGCTCTCACCAGATAGAAAATAAACACATATAAAACACCACCACCACCACCCACTCTGCTTGTGGAGAGTGATCCTTGAGACTTGTTGAAAAGTTTGAGGCACTAGGATGCTAAAGTCTGTGAGTCTTGCTTAAAGAAAATAAGAACAGAAATTCTAGTCCATTTTCCCAGAGCATTGTACACGTGGAGGTCGTATTTATGTGCAAAACAAAAAACAAAACAAAAAAAAAAAACACACCACATAGCCTAGTGCTTAGATATTCTCTTTAGTTGTAAAAAAAAAAAATTAAAGAGGGGAAGACCTTCCTTATTCATGAGGCATCAGGGGCTAGATAAAAGCACTGTTGACTGAACTTTAATTACCCTGATTGAAAAAGCCAGAGCTTGGTGCCTTCATTGATTTTAGTTGGAGCCGAGATCTCATCTTTCTCTTTTATGCCACCATGCCCAGAAACTACTCTGGGAACAGCCATTTAACAAGAGGACAAACAGAATTTTGTTTAGAAAAAAATCAAAGAAGTAATTCCCCAATGGTTCCCACAACTCTTTGGAGAAGCCCAGGCAGCCACAATCAGTTTATCGCACTGTTGATGGAGACAACAGAAACCACCCAAGGGTCTGTGGGAATCGGGCCCCACAGGGAAGGGGAGATGGGGGCTTTCTGGGAGAAATTCCCAGGCAGCTTGTGTAAGCAGAGTCCTAAATGAGACTAGTGGGAATTTCCAAAGGAGACGGCACTTTGGGGGGCCAGGGCAGGGCAGAGGAATGGGAAATCTGTTGCTTTTGGAGTGAGGTTGGTAATGTTTCTTTTGAGCTCAAGGACCCTCCAGTCGGACTGGCTTCTGAGAGTTATAAATGATTAATTCCCCGCAAGGAAATGAAGCAGTGCCTCCCTGTCGGGCTTTGTATCGGGGTTCTTATGAATTTGCGTAAAATATTATGTGGGCTTAGTGCAGCCGGCCGGGAATGGAGCTGCAGGAGCCAAGATGAGGGTGGTAGCTCAGCCAACAGGGGGAGGGAGAGATGCAGAGGGAGAGCTTGCTGCCACCGAGCAGGCAGAGGGGAGCTGGGCCTACAGTAGCGCAAGGGGAGCCCCACTCATCTGAGGGTGCTCCCGAGAGCATGAGTGCCGATGTGTGTAAAACGAGTTTCCAGCCGCCCGTTTCCATCAAATGGGCAGTTATTGTTTCTTGGCGCTTGGTGGAGCCTGTGGCGGCTGAAGATGACAGTGAGGTCTGTTTGCTTTGTAGATTCAGTTTGGCCCAGCAAAACTGGATAAATCTCCAGTGATCTGGAGGATGGAGAGGTGGGAGCAAAGATGCGTTCCAGCCTCCCAAATGCCCCGAAGGCAGAATGGAGAGAAGGAAGTGAAAGAGAATAGACAGACGATAAATAGAGTGGATCGATGGTAAGTCGATAGCAGATGGTAGAGGATAAACAGATAATAAATAGATCGTGATGGTAGGCGTATAGACAATAAATAGATATATGATATATAAATGATAATATGTAGGCAGATAGATAATTGAAAGATAAAGAGTAGGCAGGTGATAGTAGATAGATAACGCATAGTAGGTCAATGACAGTGGACAGTTGATAGCTAAATATACAATATATAAATGATAGAAGGTAGATAGACATTTGGGAGATAGATTTGAAAGACAATAGATAAATGATAAATATAGATGGATGATAGTAGACCGATGACAAATACAAATATAGTAGACAGATAATAGACAAATGGGCAATCGATTGATAAATGATAGGAAGGCAGATACATGATAGGTATATAATATGTAAACAATAGCAAGCTGGTTGGATGATGGACAGGTGACAGTCCATATCATCTGTATTAGCATTCCATGCTAGCCTCACTGGATTTGCCCAGAGAGTATGTGTAACACGAATAAATAAATGACCCAGAGACTGATATTAGGATTCAAGCTAAAAGCTGAGTATCAGAAAAGCAAAGCAGCTGACCACTACCTTCTTACCTCCACCTCAGGCTGAAAGGGCTGATCCATACATGAGTCTCAAACTGCTGCCTCTCCTCAGTGTGGCTGGAGAACGAATGCCTCTCTGAAACCATGCTTCTGTCTTACATACTTCCCTAATGCTGGGATTAAAGGTGTGAGCTATAATTCTCTTTTAGACTGATTCACTCTTGTGTAGATCTGAGTGGCGTTGGACCCACAGAGATCAGTCTACCTCTTAATCCTGAGTCCTAGCATTAAAGGTGTGCACCGCCACCGCCTTGCTCCTGGCTGCTGAGATGAAAGGCGTGTGTCACCTCTATTTGATCTTTATAGCTTGAGGCTGACTTTGCTTTTCTGAATCCTCAGTCAACTTTTTTTTGGGGGGGTGTGAGAGGGTTGGTTTCAAGGCAGGGTTTCTCTGTGTGTGTGTGTTTTTTTTTCTTCTTTTGGAGGCTATCCTAGAACTAACTCTTGTAGACCAGGCTGGTCTCGAACTCACAGATATCCGCCTGCCTCTGCCTCCTGAGCACTGGGATTAAAGGCATGCGCCACCACTGCTCGGCCTGAGTCAATTTTTAACAAATCATAAACAATACATCACTAAAAGTATGTAGGCCTCCCCTCCCACTTCCTGTGTCCATGACTTTGTTCTTCATCCTGTTTTCCAAGCACAAACACTACCAGCAGCTTCAGCCTCACTGTTCATAACTGGGTTTCTCAGCCCTATTCTGTTGGGACAGAAGCACAAGGGATGGTTAAAAATTGATGCTCAGGGGCTACAAGTCTGGTGCAGAGGCAAGAAGCCTGCCAGTTGAGTCCTAGTGGTCAGGACACAACGCGCACCCCACTCACCATGGTGCTTAGAGCGGCAGGTGTGTCCTACCCAGCAGTCGCAAGGCCTTCCGTCCGTCTTCCCTTTCCATGGGCTCCTTCCTGCTCTCCACTGGGCAGCCTGAACTGAGAGCACCCCCAGCAACCTGTCAACAGCAGCTCCTGCAAGGCCCTGGAAGGGGGCACCTCCCCCAGACTGAGCCAGTAGGAGCTGCCCTGCTGTCTCCACTGGGAATTTTTCCTGGCTCATCCTCCAAAGCCCTACGTACAACATACACAGTGTACCAATGAGAGAGGCAAACCCCAGCTCTGAGGCCACCATTCCAGAGTGGCTCCTCACTGGCGCCCCCGCCACACACACACACACACACACACAAACAGCTCTCCACACCCTCAACAAGGACCCGAGCTACTGAGGGTGACATTCTCTTCACCTCCAGCTTGGGTGAAACCCTCGCTCGCTCTTCTCGTAAACACAAACTGAGAGGTTCTTGTTTTCTGGAAAGAGACAGGGTGAAGTCTGGACTCTTGCCTCAAGCCATCATGGAGGGAGTTCCCCTTCTGGAAAAGAGCATCCTGCCGCCAGCCAGGGTTGGCACCACAAGAACTAGAAACTGATGTTTCCAACCCAAGTCTCTTTGCCTGAGACATTTCCCCCATTTGGTCCCGCTTCAGGAAAGCCAGTCTTTGGTTTGCAGGAGTCCAGGAGGCCAAGCTTTCCTGGTCTGGTGATCCAGAGAGGAGAGACCTGTGAGATTCCTGTGAGACATGTCCCAGTCACATAACAGCCCTGAGTACTCGTAATGACTGAGGAGTGTTTGCGTGTGTGTGAGAGGGAACCACGGTGGGCCACAAACAGCTACTTATTGAGAACTGAACATTTGCTCATTTCTTGTTCATTCTTAGGATCAACTCATGAAATAAAAATAGTATTTCCTTAATTTTTAATGTATGTACATATGTGTGTGTGCGTGTATGTGTGTGTGTGTGGGTGTGGGTGTGTGCCTTTCTGTGTATATGACTGTGTGCATGCCTGACTGAGTGTGCCTGTCTCTGTATATATGCCTGTGCGTGTGTGCCTGCCTTAGTCAATATTCTCTTGCTGTGAAGAGACACCATGACCATGGCAACTCTTACAGAAGAAAGCATTTAATTGGGCTTGTTTACAGTTCAGAGGTGTACTCCATTATCACGGCAGGAAGCACAGAGGCACGCAGGGCAGACATATGGCTGACTGAGCTGAGAGCTCTACACATGGATCTGCAGGCAACACATTAGGGAGACATTGGGTCTGGCTTGAACTTTTGAAACCCCAAAGCCCACCCCAGTGACAAACTTCTTCCAATAAGGTCACACCTACTCCAACGAGGCCAAGTACCGTAATCCTTTTAAATAGCGCCACTCCCTGTGAGCTTACGGAGACCATTTTCCTTCAGACCTCCACAGTGCTTATCTCTGTGCTTTCATGCATGTGTGCATGTGTGTGTATGCCTGTATACTGAGACCAGAGGACAGCCTTGGGTTCCACATTCAGGAAGAACATCCCCTCTTAGTAGCAGTGTAGTCATAGTTCTGCCCCCCACCAAAAAAAAAAAAACAGAAGAAGAAGAAAAAGTGAAGGTGAAAAGAGTTTACAAGCTTTAAAGTCACAGTGCATATTTCACATGTATGATTTGCTTAATGAACAACATACAGAAGTCTAAATGGCTCTACCAAAGCAGGAAGGGCTACTATTGTTTATATTTGGCTCCTGCATGACCAGCATTCTCACCATGGAGAATTTAAAGTCTAAGCACAAACAAACCCGCCCCCCCTCCAGGAAATGTTTCCAGTGCCTCTCTTAAAATAAATACGGATAATATTAAAAGTAAAGGGAGAAAGCACAGAATTATTAAATCCTAGGTCAGGAAAAAAAAACCAAAACTTCACTCATCTCATTTGACTCTGTTATTGTAGAATGGGGACACAAGGTTCATGGGGGGGGGGAAGAAACTCTCAAAGTTGACACAAAGTGATTGTTGGTGTTTCTGTCCTGAATCCCTTTTCCTTGACTTCAGCACAAAACTTCCCCTCTCACTATAGTTGCTAGGACCACAGGACATCGATTGAGTGTTTGAAAAGCCGGCAAAGAAAACTAAGCCATTAGCTTAACTTACTTATCTCACTGCTGTGGCCAAAGTACCAGGCAAAAACAACCTTGTTTATAGTTGGCTTAAAGTTTAGAGAGTACAGTCCGTTGTGGCAGGGAAAGGATGGGGGCCAGGAGTGTGAGGCAGATGGTCATATAGCATCTGCAGCCAGGAAGCAGAGAGAGTTGAATGTTGATGCTTCCATTCAGTCCAGGACTCCAGGCCATTCAATGGAACCACCAACTTGTAGTGCGGTCTTCCTGTCTCAGTTATCCTATCTGGATAACCCTACCCACACATGTCCAGACTTGAACCTCCTAAATGGTTCCAGATGCTCTCAAGTTGACAATAAAACCATCTCAGCAAGGGAAAGGAAAGTGGGGGGGATCACCAGAAAGTTGGTGCCTGAGGGACAGCAAACAGCTTAAGCTGGGAGACATCTCCAGCGACATAAGAAGGGAAGGACGGGAGGGCAAATTTGCCTTTCTTGGGTCATTCCTGTGTGGATGGCGAAGGTGTAGTCAGATGAAGATGGCCCTGTGCTCCTGGGGATGGCTGGGAAGATAAAAATAGCAGGAAAGGGAGTTGAGAAGAGTATTTCCAGACCATGTAATACAGAACTTCGCAGAAGGACAGAAGGAAACACCCAAGCCTGTTAAGTGTTCTGATGAACACTCGAAGAAACTAGAACTCAGAGGAATGGGTTTGGTTTTTTTTTTCTGGTTTTTTTTTCTGTTTTATTTGGGTATTTTTGTTTGTTTCTTCTTTATTGAATGATGAGTTTGAATAATGGACCAAAAATGTCTCAAGTCACATGTAACTTTCCCCAGAACCATAAAGGTCTTCGAGGTTCTGGTTTTCAGCATAAGCCATGATTGTGAGATTCTAGAAGCATAACTGAACAGTGGCTTAGACCGTTGTTATACTTTGGCTTGATGCCCCCGGTGTTTCCGAAATATGTAAGCAACATGTTTTTATTGGTAAATTGGATTTTAATTTATGTTTATACTTTGCAGCTGATGCATTATGAGACTAGTAGTTTTCATAATTGGAGAGATTCAAGACACCAGATCTTCTAGTATATAATTTTTATGCAGACCCAAGTGCCCTCAGACAAAACAAGAACCCAATTTAGCCACTCACCAGCCACAAAGGCATCTGGGCCACATAATATTTTTCTCTGGGGCCTGGATAACTGTTTCTTGGACTTGTTTATTTGATCTGGAAAACACAACTTACAAGCAGCATCAGGATTTCAAAGGTTCCTATATTTGCTACAGAGTCTTCCTCCAGTAGGTGGTGTCCAAATGACTCATCTTCAGGGTCAGACATTTGAGTCTGTTGGCAGAGACTAAAACTCAAGACTCTCTGAATGCTCCCTGTAACCAACAAATCCCACAATCTGGGGATGTGGGGCATGGGAACTTGTGTGAGGTTTCCCCCCAAGCCCACCAGGTTGCTGGGAAGAATTCGAAATCTTGTAGCCAGATATGGCATGCTCAGTCCTGATGGGGGTTGGAAGGACCCTGGTATGGATGCGGAACTTGTTTGCCTTATTTAAAGAGTTCCCTGTAATAACTAAGGGTGGAGTGAAGACCGAGAGGAGGGTGTTTTTTTTTCTTTCTCTCTTGTTTAAAAGTGTGGCTGTGAACAAGTCATTTCCGATGACGTGTCTCTTCCCAGAGTCCTCACAGCTGGAGGTTCATTCGAGATTGACGGAGGCTGTTTTCTGAGGACGCTGAGACAAGCCTAATGGTGATAGCCTCACTCGCCCCCAGAAGGTCTGGGTAACTTAGAACAAGCGAAGAAGTGTCACCAAGAAGCTCTTCTTGGGCACGGAACCGTGTGAATCAAGGCTAGAACAACACAGTGTCAACTTGACCTGGAGTTCTGAGAAATCCAAGAGTTATGGTTTTTAATCTTTGGCCTGATCCATTATTTTGTCATACGATTTCTGGAAGCCGACCACCTGTTGAGCCCACAGAAACTGCCACTGTATATGTTAGCAACAGATTCCAAAGCTGATTTATTGCACTGATTCTTCACTGCGAAGGCATAACTCAACACAAAAAGTCTTCAAGGAACAGAAACAACTGCTGAGTTTCATAAATGCAAGGTAAGATGAGAAGAGGTAAGGTCCTTCCTAAACACTAAAGAACTGGGTGACTCCAAGCATTCCCGATTCTCTGTGTCTCAGCTGCCAATCTCTCCTTTTCCTCCTTTCGCTAGTGTGTGCTTGATATGTGTTCCTCTGGTTCCATATGTGTGTAGGTGAACAGCGCATGTGTATGGAGGTCAGATGTCATCCTTGGGTGCCAAATTCAGATATTGTTCACTTCGTTTTCTTTTTAAATTCAATTTGTATTATATTATGTTTAAAACACATACCAATCCCAGTTCCCCCTCCATCCTGTCCTCCCACTGTTACCCTAGTACCCAAACCACACAAGGACTCAACTAAGAAAGAGAATTATAAACCTATCTCTCTCATGAGCATTGATACAAAAATACTCAATAAAATACTGGAAAACTGAATCCAAGAACACATCAGAAATATCCACCATGATCAAGTAGGCTCCATCCCTGAGATGCAGGGATGGTTCAACATAGGAAAATCCATCAATGTAATCCACCATATAACAAAAAATAAAAAAACAAAACAAAAACCCACATGATCATCTCATTAGATGCTGAAAAAGCCTCTGACAAAATCAAAATCCAACACTTCATTATGATTAAAGTCTTGGAGAGATCGGGATACAAGAGACAAACCTAAACATTATAAAGGCAAAATACAGCAAGCCATCAGCCAACATCAAACTAGATGGAAAGAAATTCAAAGCAGTTCCACTAAAATCAGGAGCAAGACAAGGCTGCTCTTTCCATATCTATTCAATATTGCACTTTAAGTTCTAGCTAGTGCAATAAGATAACAAAAGGAGATCAATGGATTACAAATTGGAAAGGAAGAAATCAAACTTTCACTATTTGTAGATGATATGAT